AGGATTTTTGTTCTTGATGAGTATAGATGATAGTAAATTAAAAAAAAATTTCCTGATTCGAGATTTTTTCCTGATTTCCTGGTTTTCATATTTTTCGAAAGAGGACAGAGCTGGAATTTTTTAATTTCACTTAATTGTTTTAAGGATTTGGCAATTAATATTTTTTGGTTATTTTAACTGTAACTTTCTTTGATTTGATTCTGTATGTAGACATGTTATTCTGAGTGTTTTTTCTCAGTGTCCTTTTGACTTAAATTATTTTCATTTTAAATTGTGTTTCTCTGAATATTCAATCGCTCAGTCAATTTTCAAATAAATAATTAAAAATGTACTTTTGAAAAGCATATATAAAATGCTCTTCCTCCACTTTTGATAACTTTTCTTAAAACTTTTTGTAAGTGCTTATAAAACAGTGAATGGTGATAAATTGTTTTTGATATAGATTAGAAAAAGATTTAATTTTGCAAAAAAGGAAAAAAAAAATTTTAACAAGGTAAAAAAAAATATCAAAATTATTGCAAAGTTAAAATTTGAGAATATTAATGAAATTTTCTAGTCATTATAGAAATTAATACTATAGTCAACTAAAATCCATACCATCCATCATATTATTCAAATATGAATGCTTACAAAAAAGCTTTAAAAAATTGCAGAAATAAAAGAAAGGTTGGAAGATTTATAAAAAAATGATTTATAATTAGGAGGAAAATTTTAAAAAAAGAGAAATATGCAAAAAAAACACAACCCTATTTTAAAATGCAATATTGAGCAAAGGAATTTACAGGTCAAAAAAACTATATAGTTTTTAAATTTACTGAAAAGGACTATTTCAATTTTTGATTTTCTAGTTAAAAGATGCGAAAATATATAAAAATGTGAATAAGAACTTTTTTTTTTCAATTATACTTAATTTTAATAATTTGGTTTACTTATACTTAATTATTTTGAAGATAAATAGTTGCAATGAAATTTTTCACACAATTTTGTTATTGGCATCGTTACTACATAAATAGCAGTTTTTTTTCCCTATAAAACCATAAATTAATTTAATTCTCGATTTAAAGGAAAATAATGAAAGAGACTTTACAACAAATCATGAGAAAATATATAGAATCGTGAATAATAATCGTTTTTTATTCAATTATACTTCAATTGAAAAAAATGTGTTTTACATAATACCTTTTTGAAGATAAATATTTTCAATGAAATTTTCCACACTATTTTGCTATTCGGTATCGTTATTACTGAAATAATTTCAATAATAGTTTTCTTCTTCCTTTTATAAGAAAAAAATTATAAATTAACTTAATTTCTGATTTAAAAGTAAAATAACGAAAGAGATTTTTTATAACAAACCATAAAAAAATGCGTAAAATTACGAAAAGTAAAAATTTTTTACTCAATCATAATTAACTTTGAATAATTTTATTTTACATAAACCTTTGAAGATAAATAGTTGCAATTAAATTTTTCACACTATCTTATTATTGTAATCGTTACTACATAAATAATTTTACTTGTTTTTTTTTTCAATAAAAACTCATAAATTAACTTAGATCTCGATTTAAAGGCACGTGACTGTAAAAGAGACTTTTAGAATAAAGCATGAGAAAATACATGAAATTGTAAATAATAATCATCTTTTTCATTTAATTGTACTTAGCTTCTGTTTTACATATAGCATATTGAAGATAAACAGTTGCAATGAAATTTTTCGCACAATTTTTTAGAAGTATTGTTACTAAGGAATACGTTTCATTGGTAGTTTTTCTTTTCTTTTAAAATGCCATAAATTAATTTTCGTTTTATATTCCGAAGAATTAAAGAGATATTTACAACAAAGAATCACATAAAATACATCAATACTGCATAATCATAATTTTTCGTTACATTATACTTATCTTTAAACAATCTTGTTTTGCATGTACCCTTTTGGAGATACGTTGCAGGTAAATTATTCGCACCATTTTTTATTGTTATCGCTACCCTAAATAGTTTCATTGGTATTCTTTTTCTTTTAAATAAATGCCCTTAAATTAAGATAATTCTTTATTTAAAAGTGAAAAAATGAAAGATATTCTTACAATAAACCACGAGGAAATAAAATAAATAATAAAATTGTGAATGATAATAATTTTTTACTCAACTATACTTAGATTTGAATAATTTTGCTTTACCTTTTTGAAGGTAAATATTTTCAATGAAATATTTTCAACGATTCAAAGATAAAAGGATAAAAGAGGTTTTTACGACAAAGAACGTTTAAAGTAATTCAGCAAAACTCCATTAAAATATTATATCCGTCTAATTAATGAGAAGAATGAATAATGAGGAATCTTGTGCGCAGTTTCAATCTTTAGAAAACTACCTGAAACAACACTTAAGTATTTAGAATAATTAAAAAAAAAGAAATTTATTTGTTTGTAGAAACTGCAAAAAATTTCAAAGAAAACAAATGCTTGTTTTTACCTTCCTTTTTTCTACATTCTTAAAAAGACTTTCCTTAAAAAAATTCTAGAGCACTCTTACCTACTGTAGTAAATATATATTTTTGTTCTTTTTTATTTGCATTTTAATATCCAGATTGAAGTTTTTGTTACTCAAATGACGAAAAAAGCTTAAAAAATGTTTAAGAAAATATGTTTTTCTTACTTTCCTGTTTTTTATCGTTCTCATTGTTTTTATTTTCTGAAAGCGTAATTAATGTTTGAAACTACAGTGTCACTGGTACTTATTAATTTTATTTCTTTCTCTACAAAAGAAACAGTGCCTCAATTAAGAATCTAGCAAAAAGCTCCGAAAAACTTTTTTTCTGGGATACATTTTTTTTTTTTTTATTCAATCATGAAGCGAGTATTTTTCTCTTTTTTTCGTTCTAACACTAAGGGCTCAAAATGATTAAAACAAAATGAATGACAAGAAAAGTATAAAAAAAGAAACTTTTCTTGTGATATTAATTTATTTGTGGCTATGTATTAAACATCCTTAATCTTTAAAACTTTGAAATAAGTGAGTATAAATTTTAATTTTGAATGAAATTTTTTTTTCTTCAATTCATTTTGGTGAATATTTTTTTCGCAGTCTTTTTGATGCTGCTAAAATATTGCTTTTTTTAATTTGTTTTAATTTTTTATTGCCTGAATGACAAGATTGCGCAATTAAAATCAAAGAAATATTTTTGCGAAATTGCTTTTTTTCAAGCATTTACTGCCTAAATTAAAACACAAAATACAAACAAAATTACATATTTTTCTCAGCAAATAGTAAAATTCATTTTTGAGTCCTATGCTTATTTTTTCTTAAAAATTACTTTTGGAATCCCATGCTTAAATATATAATTTCTTAAACGTGAAAACTAAGAAATATATAATTCATATATGATAAAATTATTTTCTCTTTTTCATCAAGATATTTGTAAAATAGCTAAATTGAATGAATAATTTATGACAACCAACAAAACATATTCAATAATTCTGAATTATAAAGTTTTTTTTCTTCCGTTTTATCAAGAAAAAAAATTAAATTGATAGTAAAATAACTAAATTGATTGCAGAATAACTGAATTGAATACATAATTTATTAAATGAGACAAACAACTAATATTTAATTTATTTGGTTTCTGAATAATTATAATAAATTTTCCATTTGATAAAGATAACTAAATATCTAAATTGATTGATACAAGAATAGGGGAGCATTAAACATTAAAGAGTAACTGACAAAAATAAAAAAAACTGAGCAATCTTTTTTTTATGTGTTATTTTTTTTTATCTAATTTCTTTTTTAGTAAAATTAATTTTTTAAGAAAGCTAAAAAAATGTTGAAGGTGAATATGGATAGTTCACAAAACAAAAAGCATAACCCCAATTAATAGCTTTTATTTTAACTATCGGATTTTTTCATACTAATAGTTAATTTACTTTCTCTATAATGAAACATACCATTTTTATGACGTCTTTGGATACTTGATTTCAAAATATGGGTGGTTCCTACTTTCTGAAAAATAATGTCCCCATAATATTTGTTAAGAGAGAGAATTAAACATTGAACCCCTTAATTTTTTGCTTATTTTTCTAAATCTCTGGAACACTCTAAGTGATCACCGTACAATAGAATAATTTTTTTAAATAAAAGTAAAACAAAATTTTTTTTGATTGTTTTGTATGCACAGTGCGCAAAATAAAAAGGCGTACCACCCGGAATAACTTTCAATCTAATAGTCGGATCCTCACGTTCTAAAACTCAATCTTAAATGTTATTCAGAGAAAGTATGTTTTTTTTTGTCTGATTTCCTAACTTAGAATGTAGTCTGCACTAGTTAATTAGCTTATTTGAGGTTACACCCTCGAACCATTAAGATTGAGTCCTAGAACGTGATCATCCAATAGTTAGATAGAAAGTTATTCACAACGGTTCGTTCATTTTTTTTTAGCACAATACAATACATCTGAAACTTATTTCCTTCTTAGGAATCGCGGTGTTTCTTGTTGTTGTTTTTTATACTGTTATTTCCGTTTATTTTTTTGCGAACGGTACACTTACCTAAAGGCACACTTAAATAAACGTACACTTAAATAAAGGCACAATGCGTGTAAACTTTATTTCTTTCACAGAAGTCATGGTGTTTTTTTTTTCCTTTTTCTTTTTTTTTAAACCATTAAATATGCTTTCTTGAGGAGTTTAAACATGTGGATTAGCATTATATTTTCATAAACTCTTTACACTTCATCCTCCCTTTCTTAATATATTTGCCGATAAGTAGAGGAATATCCAAAATGATTCTCCCAGCCCTCTTTTAAATAATTACTTTTTCTGAAAGAAACATAAAACCTTAAAAAAAAACTTAAATATAATAGAAAACGATTCGCGAAAAAATTATTTCATAATTTTTTCCAAAGTCAATAGCGTCAAGAAAAATAAAGCATTCACTTATTATTGATTACTACACATGAAACAAAAACATATTAATAAATTAAAACATTGATCATGTATCTTTTTAGGTCCAGTTTTGATTAAAACTACTATTCACCAAGATGGTGTTATAGAAGTTGAAACACCATGGCAACAAGGCTTAGTTTGGGAATCAGTGCCACATCCTGTCCTAATGGGTACACTTCCGGTCCAAGCAGGAATGTTCCCCGTTCCCTTGCGCCTCACTTCCTTTGATGAAGATGATGAAAATACCATGTCTTCCTGGAATTACGATATTAAATACAATCGAAAAGATAAGGAGAAGACCATTGCAGCAGTGGAGAGGGTTCTTGTGGTACGAGTACATTTCATTTATTTCTAAGATAATATATTTTTGCTCAATTTTGTTCTCTTAACAAGATTACATACATATTCCTTTTCACTCCGGATTGGAGCATAGGGCTTCTATCATAGCCTTCCATCTCACTCTATTTGTGGTCAGATATTTTTCCTTTCTCTATGTCTTTCCTGTTGTCTTCAATTTATTTACAATCGTCCTGAGCCAAATACTTTTAGGTCTTCTTCTTTTTCTATTGCCCAGAGGGGTCCAATCAAACATTTGTTTTACTTTAAATTTTTCTTGTTTGCGCAGAACATGACCAATCCATATCCATTCACGTTTTTTTAATTTCCAGATCAATCTGTTTCTGTTTTGCTCTTCTAATGATTTCTGCATTACGAATTTTATGGAACCACTTGATACGCAAGATTCTTTTTAACAGTTGTTAAATAAATTCTTGAAGTTTTTGCATGTTATTTTTATTGCAGTGCCATGTCTCAAATCTACATAGTAGGACAGATTTAACATTATTGAAAATTTTAATTTCTGTTGAATTTGTTATGTTTTCTTTCCCACAATTTATTAAGAATAGCTTCCAGTTTTGTTTAATCTATTTAGAATATCTTCATCAGCTTCTTCTTTGTTGTTTTAAGATGCGTAAAACTGCTTACCTCCTCTAGTTTATTATTTTTTAAGAACATGTCTTAACATGATTATGTTCTAATTTTACTATTGAAAGAAAAATATGAGAACAAAAAATTAATATTAATTTTTCTTTCGCGTATTATTTTTTATTACTCTTTTCAAAGTATTGAGAGTAAAGAATAAATAATAGCTCAAAAAAATTAGTTTTAAATTAATCAGATACAACTAACCGCTGATCTCTTATATTTAAAAAAAAAAATTTTTCCTATAGAAAACACAGTTTTTCTTTCGAACTTTTTTTTTATTAAACTTTTCAAAGCATTGAGTGTAGATGATAAGGAGTGGCTAAAAAAGTCACAGCCTTTTAAGTCAGAAATTTTTTTAAGTCAGAAATTTTTTTAAAAAAGTACTCGATTTCTTTTATTCAGATTCTTACCTGTGAAACTAAAATCAATTAAAGGCACTAATAACAAGACGTACTTTAAAATTAATCAATACTAATGATTACTAATTTTTTATATTTAAAAAATTTGAATTTTCTTATTGAAAACATGGTTTTTCGTGTATTTTCTATTAAACTCTTAAAAGCATTGAGTGCAGGGGATCAGTAATGGCTAAAGAAGTCACAACCTATTAATTCAGTAAATTTTTAAAAAAGTTCCGGATTTCTTTTCTTTAAATTATTACCTGTTAAATTAAAATCAATTTAAAGCGCTAAGAGAGTTCCATTCATATATAATGAAATAGAACATGAATTTTAAGAAGAAACATGAATGTTATACAGTCAATAAAACGCCAAAATATGGCAAAACAAGACGCCAAAAAAATCTTATTTTTAAAAATTGGCAACTAAGATTTAAATCATCAAGAAGTTGCTGATGTATTTTAAATTAATAATATAATTCTTTTTTTTTCTTCAATAATTTGTATCTTTACCCTTTTTCAGTATTGGTTGTTGACCAATGGAATGAATTCATTTTTTTATGAGTTCTATTAAATACTGCTTTATGTTTGCAAGTTAACTGGTCAACCAAACAAATACCTTCTGTTTATTACGCATAAGAACTTCACTGAATATGTCAAATCTAATTCCATCCTGATTTTTTTTGTAATACTTAGGTAGCTTCTTCACTTTCCTTTCTTACAGTCAATAAAACAGCAGCCAGTTAAAAAAAATATAAAAACATTTCTTCCGGTTGTAATAATTTGGGGCAGTTTGATTATTTTTCCAACAATATTTGATTTGCAAACAAGAATTTTGGCTCTGATATTGACCATGAACCTACACGGAACTACATTCTGTTTTCAGGATGTTATATTAAGTCTATCAACAAGTTAAAATAACTTTAATCATTATAAAATATTTTTTTTAAAAAAAAAATTGTTTAAAATCTGTTCAAACAACATTTGAGGTCTGTTTAACTACCAAATTACTGTTGAATAGAAAAGTTACTTTTGATTAAATCAGGACACAAAATCTGTTTCAGACACTTGGAAAGACGCCAAAATATCGATCAATACATTTATTTGAATTATTTAAGTGTCTGGAAAAGCCGACTGCACTTAATAATCAGCCATATATCTTAATGCGTTAGCTTTTGTGCTAATACTCGAGTTGATGAATGCACAGTGCCGCCAGTGACAATTATAATTCTCGCCAAACAGGTTACGATCTTCTGTTTCGACTTTCCAATATGCCATAAAGTCCTTCGATCCTTCTAAAGCCATTATGAAGTTTCGCTAAAAGAGAGTTCCTGTAAATAGAACTTTAATGAACGAAAACTCGAATCAAAATTCATTCATTCTTTTAACAAAATGTATACGAGAGGAAATTCATTTCTGCAAAACAGTGGAAGCAAGAAAAGTAATTCCCGAGAAGGAAAAAAAAATGGTGGAAAAATGCATGTAAAAAAGATAAATAAATAAATCTTCTTCACTCTTTTTATACTTATTATTAAATTTATGGACAAGTTAAAATAACTTAAATAATTTTATAGTTAAAAAAAATTTATTTTATATACGTCCAAGTAGCATTTGAAGTTTCATAACTACCAAATTACTAATCATATGAAACTTTACTTTAGATTAAGTCATCTATTTTAGACACTTGGAAAGTGGCTCAAATATATATCACTACATTTCATTGAATTATTTAAGTGCCTGAAAAAGCTGACTGCACTTAATCTATATATAGCATTAGAATGTTACAGAGCCGCCTGCGACTATTATAATTCTCGCCAAACAGGTTGCGATGTTCTGTTTTGACTTTGCAATATGTCATAAAGTCCTTCTAAAGCCATTATAAGGTTTTACTAAAAGAGAGTTCATGCAAATAAAACTTTAATAAATGAAAACTAGAATCGAAATTTCTCTCAAATTTCTTCAAACTTATCCAAAAGGAAATTCATGGAACAGTGGAAGCAAGAAAAGTAATTCTTGAAACGGAAAAAAAAGGAATTATTGAAGAATATGTGTAAAAAAGAGAAAAAATTAATTTCCCTTATTTTATACTTATTATTTAATTTATAGACAATTTAAAATAGCAAAATAGTCATTTTATAGTTTAAAAAAATATTTTATGTTTGGCCAAATAGCATCTGAACTTTTATAACTACCAAATTACTAAGCAAATTAAACTTTACTTTTGATTAAATCATGACAAAAAATCTGTTTCAGATACTTGAAAAGATGCCAAAATATCAGCTATTAAGATTTGTCTATAGAAAGAACTCCCCTCACCACAAAGTCTAAGACCGTATGCTGCTATGGAAACAAGAAAAAGCGCATTTCATGGAGGGGAGCTTCTTTAGACCCTGATATCCTTTCTCTCGCCGACCCGAGCCAAGACCTGTCTTAAATAATGACCCAACAACCTCGTAACCATAGTTACAACCACTATTCCAGACGAATGTCTAGGAGAGTGCTTTACATAGACAAACTGTACATTTCTTTGAACTATTTATGACTGACACATTGCATTAGATGACACGTAGTCGTCAGTGACAATTATAATCTCGCCAAACAGGTTAAGATCGTTTATTTCGTCTACTCCTTTGTACCATAAAGCCCATCTTCCTTTCAAAGACATAATAAAGTTTTACTAAAAAGGAGTTCCAGTGAGTTTATAGAACTCCAATGAACGAGAACTCCAACCGAAATTCCTTTTGAAATTCGCAAGATGTATTCGAGAGGAAATTCATTCCTACAAAACAGCGGAAGCGTGAAAAGTAATTCACGAAATGTAGATCTGAAACAAGCGAAAAGAAAAATAAATAGTTGAAGAATATATGAAAAAAAAAGGAAAATTTAAATTTTTTTCTTCACTTATTTTAACTCTAGACTTTGAACAGTTAAACTGGGCGTAAAACAATAAGCGCTCAATGGAAGTGAGTTGAGGCGTAGTGAAACGCAACGCCATGATTCTTTTTTTTTCGTTCGGTTTGTTTTAGTTTCTTTAAACAACATCGACGGTGGTGATTTCTTGAGGGAAATTGCTAGCGCTAGAAAACCACTGAGGCATTTTGTATTCTAACTCTTTCAGAACAATTTTGATTTTAGGAAAAATACACTAGTTACATATGTCTGTTAGAAAACGAGTTTGTTTTTTGCTCTTTTTTGAGTTAGACTTTGAAGTAATCACAAACAGAATTAGTTTGCTTGGTTTAAACATTTTGTAATATTTAGTTTCTTTAGTATCAGTACCTTTTAATTTTTTTTCTTTGCAATGGAACAATTTAATTTTGAGAATTCTGAATTTGGAAACTATTCAAGGAATAATAATAAGATTGTTTTTAAAAAAAATGTGGAATATTATAACATAATTAGTTTCTTTATTTTGAATGTGCTGCAATATTTAGTTTATTTAGAATCCTATCTTCACATAAGTGCTTTATTGTTTCTGATTTTTTTTTGAAAATTTTAAACTTTTTATTAAGGAAAAAAAAAGGGTATAAGAATGTAAATGAGCGAAAGAAATTAGTTTGAGCACTTATATTATTTTAGAAATACACTTCGTAAAAAAGTGTATTTCTGCAGTCTTTATACGAAAATTTATTCTTGTTTTTTCTGTACTCAAATAATTTCGTTCGAAATAATAATAATAAAAGTAATATTTAATAATGCGGATGTTTGGATTGATAATCAGAGTTTAATTTCGATCTGTTGCAATATTTAAAACTCCTTTTCCTAAAATTTTTGAAAATATAACTTTAATTTCTGAAGTATAATGCTTGCAATATAAAAATAAATTCATGAAATAATGTATTTTCTTCTTTTTTTTTAACTATTTGCTTTCGTGAATTCCCGAACTCAGAGCAAAACAGAAGAAACAAATTCACAGATTCTATTGAGATGGATAGTTTTTCTATTCAGACGAATGGTTTTTTTTTCTATTCAAATGAATAGTTTTTCTATCTGTCGCTTGAATAGTTTTTTTAGCTTAAAATTTTTTTGGGGCTTAAATAATTCTTTTGTTTAAAAATATATTGACGAACTTCTTTAAAATAATATTCAGAATGAATTATGAACAGACTTTCTAGTGAAAATGAAAAAATTTCGAAACTTAAACAAAGAAATATACAGAAAGAATTATTCTTTTCCCAAATTTTGAAACATTTAGCTGTTTTTAATACTATTAGTGTTTTTTTCCCTAAATAATTAAATTTTGATAACTCTAAACTCAGAGCTTTTTCCGTCATTGATTAACAAAAGCTTAGACTCCATCAAAATTATCCTATCCCAAATAACAAAATTTGCAAAATATTTCCTAAAAATTCTATAAACTCAAATTATTAATTCTGACTTTTTTTTCCAAACTTTCCAATAAAAAATTATTTATGCATCAATTAACACAATGTGCGACATTACTAAACCGTATGTAACAAGACAATGGAAACTAGCTTATTAGGCAGAATACCATACTAGATAATAAATAAAAAAATTCTCCAAACTTTAGTATACTTCACTTTTTTATTATATCATTGCCTAACATTAAAAATTTCTATTAAATGAAGAGAAACAAAGGATATTCAATCTCAGATTTCCATCCTACTATCTTCCATGATCAAGAGCCACTTCATGTCATCTTCAAAGAAAGTCATCTAGATGATGAATTTTTTTTTTTTTGTATGTGTAGATTCTTCTATTTTACTTCAGAAACCGCACACTTTTTTATACTAAATCACGTTCTCTAGTTTCTTTTTTAATTTTTTTTAAGTATAGCACTTCGGATAGAAAAAGAAAAATATAAAAATTGGAGAATAAATGCAAGAGAGAATGCATAAAAAAAATTATCCGTGATCTTAAGTTTCAAATATTCAGTAAGTGTTCTTAATATGGAGACTCTTATACGTGATTTGTAGAGTTTTAATAAAGTTGCTGTGCTTGTCGATAAGCTGAATTTCTTGGAGGTAGTCGTAATTTAAAAACTTTGTTTTAAATAATAATTAGAGTTTGATTAAATAAATGATATTTTAAGAAAATGGAATATTTTATGTATTGTTAATGTGTTTAATTAATTTAGTTTCATTCTTACTTCAACGAGGTTTGAGATTTCACAAAGGACGAAAATAGTATTGGAGCATGCGCGTTTCATACACTACAATTTGTATAGTAGAAATAAATATAAGTATAAATATAACTCTCTGATCTCCACCACATGCTTCCAAACAATATATTTCTAGTTCTGAAACTGTCCTAACTAACTTAAAATAAGAAATTTTTTAAGTGTAATGGAATTATTAAAAATAATATATTGTCAAAATATATAAAATGCCCACGTATGCTTTTCTTAAAACTAAAGCTAAGGAAACAAAAAAAAAATCATTGAAATGGAAAAATAAATTTGAACTTGCTAAGCAGTGTTACGTTTCTTGGAAGAATAGTTAACGACAAAGAAGGAAAGTTGAAGCTATACTAAATAGATTTATCAAAGACCGAAACAATCACGCTATTCTGAATAAATTCTGGAAAAACAAAAACATGACAAATTCATCAAAAATTTGAATTTACAATACTAATGTTAAATCTGTCCCACTATATAGATTTGAGACATGGCACTGCATAAAAAATAACCTGTCAAAACTTACATTAAACAGTTGAATTTATTAACAACTGTTTAAGAAGAATCTTGCGTATCAAGTGGTTCCATAAAATTTGCAATGCAGAAATCATTAGAAAATCAAAACAGAAAGCTATTGATCTAGAAATTAAAAATAACGTAAATGGAAATGGATTGGTCATGTTCTACGTAAACCTGAAAGAAAAATTAAAGTAAAACTAGTGTTTGATTAAAAGCCTCGGGGTATTAGAAAAAGAGGAAGACCTAAAAATACTTGGCATGGGACGATTTCATGGAATTGAAAACAATAGGAAAGACATAGAGGAAAAATATCTGGCCACAAACAGAGTGAGATGGAAAGATATGATAAAAGCCATATGCTCCGATTCTGAGTGAAGGGAAATATATATGTATGGATGTAAGAATTACGCTGTAATAATATTTTACGATAAAAATAGATATTACGGTAACATTTATTTTACGATAAAATTTATTTTGCGGTGAAATTTATTTTACAGTGAAATTTATTTTACGGTGAAATTTATTTTACAGTGCAATTTATTTTACGGTTAAATTTATTTTGCGGTAAAATAGATTTCACAGATAAAATTTATTTTACGGTAAAATAGATTTCACCCAAAGTGCTTAACGTAACTTGATTCCGAATTATTTACAGCGGGTCTGAGCTATGTTGTTACTTCAAATATTTTCCCTTCTTTTCAGGTGAATGAAACACAAATACTCACAGTGGAATATGACTGGGTTGCTGGTCGAGAAATACTATACAATAGTTCCAGAAGACCTTTTCTTGTCGTTCAGTATGATGGGTTTTCTAGACCAGTCCAGTGGTTACCAACTGATACGCGGCTACCTCTAAATCTAATGTACGAGAGATTAGGAAGATTATCTGGATGGCAACAAGGGAGCTTATCGGAAACCTATTCTTATGATCGAATGGGACATTTGACCGAAATAAAAAATCCAGATGTGTCTGCCATGAAGTTTTCCTACGATTTGAAAACCATGGTACTCTATGTCATAAATTATTCTACTTTTGAAATAATGCTCTCATATTTTTTTAACCTTACTGACATTCGAAAACCATTTAAGAACTAAAATTTGTTTTTTTTTTTTTCAATTTGAGTTTACCTTGTAAGTACTACTGATAAAATGCACATACACTAATACAAATACTAAGAAAAAAACGTCATAAAGTGACATTTGATTTAGCAGTTATGACTTAGAATAAATTTAATGAAATAGTAAAAGAAAATCTGTTTAGACTTCAGACAAGAATAATTAAAATTTACTCGCTTAAAACGATCAGATATAATGGTTTGGACAATGGGCAACTCCTTTGAGACTTACAAGGAATACGAATTGTTTGATGAATGTTAAGTTTCATATTTTATATCTTTTGTTACAATCCAGGTATTTAAAACGTAATATTATTTCTTATTAATTCCTTAAGCATTTAAATCGTAACATTTTTATTTTTTGTAAGACTTAGTTTATACCATTTAAACAAAATTAATGAATCAGGGCAGTAGGGTTATTACATTAAATTAGATTGTTAGAACATAAAGTAAGTTTAAAAAAATATACTTTGGTAGAAAGTATCGAGAATTTCGTTAGTTAGCGCCTAAACAGAAGTTTATACACGAAAGTTTCTAAAAAAAGTAAAAAATTAAGTTAGTTTTGTATTACAGGTGGAGTTTATAATTGCTTCTAAAAGCGCTAAATGGTGTAGTTTTATCTTAGGTACTATAAAATAACAGTATACGATAATTTATCTGATCCAAAAACACTAAATATGCCATAAATTTCTTTTGCATTCGCTTGCATTAATTTATTTCACAAATGCAGTTCTTAAAACAAAGCAAGAACTTTCACACAAAATAGAATTTTAATAAATCATTTATTGCTATATTAGCACGAATTTTTAAAAATACTAATAATATACTCTCATATTAAATATGTCGAAAAAGTATCTAATTGTCAATAAATTGTCAAAACTTTTTCTTGCATAAAAGTGTAAAAACTATAAATATATAAAACTTTTTAATGCTCTCAAATTTATTGAACTGAATAACTTACATTTACGTATGATTGAATTTTTTAAATCTTTTTTCTTCTTAGCCTGCTAAAATATCATTACCTAGTGGTCGCAAGTTTACATATCATTACGATGAAAATGGAGGTTTGAAATACGTCACAACACCAAAAGGAACTAGGCATACGTTTACTGCTTACGTCTCAATAGGCTTCTACAAGTTGCTTTACACTCCCCCAGGCAACACTGGATCATATGTTGTGCACTTTAATGACCAAAAACTTCCATTATTGAAAACATATCCCGGTGATCTTGGTCGAGCTTTATATTGTTATGATAATAGAATGATGCTTACGTCCATTGTTTATGGTGGTGGAAAAATTGAAAGAAATTACAGTGCTGCTGGATTCATCAACTATGAAGCTTGGAGAACCCAAGACGTTGATATCATCAGTGAATTCCAATATAAAGGTGAGTAAATAAATTACCTATTGGCTAAATGTGTGAAACAAGTTGAACATATGAAATAATACAGGTAGATTAATTTGTAAATTACAAAAGTAGCACTCAATGTTAAATATGTATGTATTTTTAATGCGTGACATATAAAATTATTCTTTTATGGATGAGATAAAAATCGAACCTACTTGTGTTTGAACCTAAGTTTATAGGTATCACCAGTCCCTCGTTTATATCTATGATTTCAGGCTTAAATTTTGTTTTATGCGCAGATCCTGAGAGAGTTTTATAAAGATCTCTAAAGCTACTTTTATAATTAATGTTTTCAATTTATGACTAAGGTTAAAGTTTGTATTTTTCATTTACACTATCTTTCATCAACTACCAATACATTATTTTCCATAAAACTTACTTTAAAAATTCAAATGCTTCATAAGCATGTTTTAAATTAAATAAGCGCGTGTTAATGTTGATAATAATCACACTCTTGAGAAAATATGCTCATGCTTAGCGCCTTTAAGCACAGATGCTGTCAAACATGCTTTGTTACCTGGTATATGTTTTGAAATTATTATTTTATTTTAAGTATATTTTTTATCATTCAAGCTTGATTTTTATCAAATGTTCATGTTTTGTTTTCTATTACATTCATTATAAAATTAGAAAAAAAGGTATTGTTAAAACTATCAGAGTATGGTGCAATCTATGGTGTTTCGGCCTCTATGAGAACTCCAAAAAGCTAAATAAAGGGCTTTGGTAATTATTTGGATAAAATTAACAATAAAATATGGTTTCATAATACCTAATGACATTAGGTAAATGTGGTAAAATTTATCATGATGCCTCAGAGCATAGCGTTAAAATAGTTTATTCGGTGAAATTCACTGTTTAGTCTTGCATTTTTTACAAAATGTGAGGTAATGAGAACTGCAATTTTGAGAATCAGGATTTACAGTATGCCGCTAGCATGTGATCGGAAAACTTACTGAATGAATGGGCTGTATGTTTTGATTTCATTGACCAGAATTATGGATGGGCTTATTTTACCAGAAATGGCATTACCATATAATACGGTAATTTACCAATTCTTTTTCACCGTGTAAAAAAACATGCAATATAAAAAAGTCAGAATATGTATTTAAATACATATTTTGTTGGACGTTCTTTGTAATTTAATTTGAAACAGAACATCCGTAACAAATTTAAATTTATTTTAAAACCTTTTTTAAACATATTTTATATTAATCCTGAGCTATAATGTGAAATTTAAATAATTTATTAGTTGTAAAAGACAATATGATAAAATAAGTTAAATGAGCTTATCCCATTTAGTTTCGTGACTTAGCTTAGTACGCCACACTTTCTGCCAGATTTTTTCTCTAATTTTATTATTTGTAACTGCAATAAATTTTTTCATGTACAAAACAAATTTATCTTACAAACAAATTGCTTAAATTTCCAGGTGCGTCCCTTGCAAGATGGCGAATGAAATTCAACAGTCCATTTCCTTTGACTAACGCCGTTTTTACATACACCTTTGATGGAATGCAGCGACTTGTCTTAATTGTTCCAAAAATAGGAAACATGCCATTACAGCCCCTAGAATTCTCCACTAATATGACAACTGGACGTAAAGAACAAATCGGACCTTTCCGTTGTTATGAACGATTCCACAATGAGTCAGTTGTGTCAGACGGAGTGGCTTCAATAACAAGACAAGTTGATCCTCTATATAGGCTGAAATTTCTATCTATAGTCATTAGCGACAAGGAAGTAAGTGGATTTATAGGAGATTCTCTCTTCTAAGTAGATCTGTATCAATATATCATGAAATACATTCTATTTATATTTGAATTATTGAACGTTTTTCTAAAGATCAAAAATATTGGTATATTCAAAATCTATGTAATATCTATATATTCAAAAATATCCATTCCAATGAAAATAAAGGTTCTTTCACAAGATGACATAATGAAAAAAAAATGTAGGGTTGCATTAACTTAAATATGAAAATTTAATCATTATGCCTTAGAAAAAGAGTTCATAGTAATTTTCATAGTTGAAGTAATATATATATATATATATATATAGTTCAAACTGTAGAGAAAACTAGTGAAAAATTACAGAACGAGGGGAAAATAATGATAAAAATAACAAAAAAATTTATTTTTAAAAATTTTATTTCAAACTTAGAAATATTTTTATAAGAACAGTTTATGAAAAGCAAATAAATTTTTTTATGGAAAAGTTATTTTAGTTTTATATATATATATATATGTATATATACTACTCGCCATTAAAATTGCTACACCAGGAAGGCGACACACCACGAACGTGTAATTTGCAGGACTGATAAAGCACGTTGTGGTATACAAATGATTAGCTTATCAGCTCATTCATGCAAAGCAGGCAGCGGTAGCGACACCTACAATGTGTATAAAAGAAGAGATTTGACAGTAAGTTTCTCATACAGGAATTGAATTTGAGTTTTTCTTGGGTAAAAAGTTTCTGTTATATCTCATGTAAGAAGGAGAAATGCCTTCCAGCACGTGTCTGAGTTTAATTGAGGTCGAATTGTGGCCTACTGGAAGTGCGGTTTATCATACCGAATTATTTCTGCTTTGTTGGTCGAGATCCCATAACTGTTAGCAGAATGTGGGATCGATGAGTTCATGACTGTCATATGAAGCGCCATGCAGGATCTCAGCGGCCCCCATCACTAACAGACGAGAAGACAGACATCTAATCCACATGGCCTTAAGGGATCGTACAGCTAAGTCACGAACCCTGAGTCAACAAATGGGGTCATTTGCAAGACAACAAGTGTCTGCACGAACAGTTCGACGACGTTTGCAGCAGGCATGAACTGTCAGCATGGTGACCATGGCTTCAGCTACCCTTGACGCTGCATCACAGGCAGGAGCGCTTCCAATGGTGTGATCAACGATGAACCTGGAGTCAGGAATGGAATGTCGTCGTCTTTTTAGACTAATCCAGGTTCGGTGTACAGCATCATGATGGCCGCATACGTGTTTGACAACATCGTGGAGAACCCCTAATGGTAGCTTGCATTCGACGTCATCATACTGGCACATCACCTGGAGTAACGGTATGGGGTGCCATTTGATACACGTTTGATCACCTCTTGTGCGTATTTCCGGTATTTTGAACAGCAGGCGTTACATTTCAGGAGTGTTAGGGCCAGTTGCTCTGCCATATCTGCGAGGCCAACATAACGCTACATTTCAGCAGTACAATGCACGACCGCATGTTGCCCGTACTGTCCTGACCTTTCTTGACACAGAACATGTTCGCCTGTTGCCCTGGCCAGCACATTCTCCAAATCTCTCACCATTTGAAAACTTCTGGTCAATGGTTGCCGAACGACTGGTACGCCACCAATCGCCAGTCACTACGGTCGATAAATTACGTCCTAATGTTGAAGTTGCATGGAATGCTGTACTGAGGCTGCTCTGAGTACTGATTCCTTAGGATCTTCCAACTATAATGTATGAGTCCAATAAATATCATTCTGTTATTTGCATTCCTTCCTGGTGTAGCAATTTTAATGGTCAGTAGTGTATATTTCCTGCGTATGTTCAAGTTTTAAATTTCGCTTTTTCCCATCTTATTTTAGCATTGTGTGAGAAAAACTTAGAAGTTCTATTTTCAATTTTTGAAAAAAAAGTCTACATTGAAAATTTTAAGTAAACTATTGAAAATCTTTAATTATATAAAACAGCTTTAAACTCTGTTTAGTTAAAAGAAAATTATATACTTCCAGTATATGCTGTAAAGAGTTAATTTTGTAGTTTCTCAACGGATATTTTTGAGGTTCAAGATAGAAACATTTTATATCATTGTTAGGCTAAGGAGAAGTGTTAATCACTGAGCAAGAGGTAAATGTAATAAAAATTGTCAGAAAATTACTTTGATTTTCTCGATCAATTTCACCTGAAAAGTATTAGGTAATGAAAAATTATTTAAATATAATTAAATTCTCAATTACCAAACATTTGGAATTTTGACTTTAGTTGTTCATTATTGAATAACAAATTTATGCATAATAGCATTGAAAATATTGCTGCACATATGGCTAAATATTGCTTACAGAATGTTCGATGTGCCTTAAAAGTTATTCAATCCAAAAAAAAAAAATTAATGAATGCAAGTTTTGCATCAAAAGTCCTTATAAATTTGGGAGTAAATTCACCAAAAATCATTAAATATGAATTTCATAATACGTCAAATGTTTTTAAAAAAGTGATATAATATGAAAAAGCTTTTTATTTTATCTTAAATTTCGTACCTCAATAAAGAAAGGCTTAAACTAGTTAAGGATATTTTCAAGTAAAGATTATACTAAAAGCTTAAATTTTAAGGTTATGATTTTAAATTTATAATTCAACAACCTTTTAAAAATAGACAGCAATGCATTTATTGATCATAGGAATTCCCGATTGATTACATATATTTATTTAAGGTGCAAAATTAAGATATGACGCTTAAAAATCATGTCAAAATAATTATGCAACTATTCATGGAAACTCATAACCACTGTTGTTCTTGTCATTCTTATCCCATTCGATAGACATCTAGATCAAGTCCATAAACCCATATGATTTTAAATTAACAAGAGCTCCTTCAAGAGAGTAGTTGACTCGTCTGTCTGGCAATTGATGCAGATCAAGATGTGAGCAGGAGTAGCTCGAGTCACATTGCATTTTGGGCAGGAAGGAAAGAAATTAATTCTGATACATGACGATGAGCTTGAAAGTATCTGCTACGGAACCTAGCACGAACCACTTGTGTGGATCTTCTGCTGGTCTTGATCAGATTAGTACCATGCCAGTTGAATTCATACCACTCAAGAACCATTCCACATTGAAGTTGATATTCATAGAAACCATTCTCCATAGGAGTTGAACAATTTTTGAGAAAATAATTCATCCATCACCAATAATATTTAAAATGTTCTCCTTTTGCCAGTTTACCCACAATTCAGGAACATTCACAGATTAAATAACGTTTCCTGACCTAAATAACACATGAAAAAACGTCCACATTCACGTCCACTGAAAATAAATCGTATTATTGGTGCACAAGTTACTCAAATGCTCGAAAATATTCCCACTTGATTTATCTCGATATTTTCACTATTCAGATAAATGCTGAATTGAACTTTTAATGGAGCCCAGAATCAAGATATCTGTATTTATACTCTGAGTGACACAATACTTCAATATTCACTCAATAGCTACATGAGTTCCGCCTGAAAAACGGAGCTGCAGTCAGGATTTTTCTTACAAATCCTAATGTCGCATTCACGATTGATAAACACTCTTAAAATAACACCAGAGAGTGCCATCACCCCAATGAGAAATACTAACTATGAATGCGTACAACTCATAGTTAATAACTCATAGTTTTTTTCCTTTAACAGGGCACAATTCAAGTCTTAACTTAAGCATTCTATTAATATGTTACGTATCTTTTCCTTGACTTCTTTTTTTTCAATCTGCGCATTGTAATAGAGGGCGTTGTTTTCTTTAGTTTCAAGTGCTTCCGTTTCATTCGGCTTGCTTATGAAATCGCCGTGTGACCAGGTTAAAGTGAGTTTTTATTTTCTGATGATTTTGTTTGAGTTTCTTTTCTAAATAGGTTCTATGTATTTCATGTTTTTTCCTAGACTTCTGTACGAAACCTTCGAGGTACTGAGGGAGTTACTTTAGGCATTTGCCTCTCCCTCAATAGAAAAGGTTTTGTTTTATGGCTACCGGGGCCGGTACCCCTGAAGACGTTGGCTTCGGTGGTCATATTTTTATTTTTTTTCCTCCGTTTCCTTTATTGCTACATTAATTTATTAAAACAAACCTTTAAATTAAATTTTAAAGAAATATCTTAAAAACTAAAGAAGAAAGATATTACGTGATTAAAACTTTATTCGCTTAAAAAATATACATGTTTCTAGAGCCCAAAAATAAGTGCATTCCTGCCTGGACAACCTTGAATATGGGCGCTTATTTTTGAGCGCTTGAAACGTGTCGAATGTTTTTTTTCCAATTTGTATATTTTTAAAAAGAATGTAGCTTTTAATTAAGTAAACTTCTATATATTTCTATAAAACTTAATTTTATGCATAATCAAGTCAAGGAAAATGTCTGGAATTAAAATCATTTTTTTAAATCAGTTTCAGCATTATTGAACTGGATTTGAAAATGAAATAATAAGTGAATAAATTAGAAATATTTATGATTAAAACCTTTAAGAAATACAACTATAAAATTTTTCGCTCATAAGCGAATTAATAATAGAACACCATTTTTTTTCCATAATAAGATCATAAAATTCGCTTCAAAAAGATGTTTAACTCGATTAAAAAATGAATTACAAAGTGTAATTCATTTTTTACATTTTTTACATATAATAATAGTTGCTCGCTAATGCTCTTTAATTTAATTACTCTTCTTTTTACATTTATTTATTAAGAGGTTATTTTACCATTCAAAATTTAATTAAATTGTATCTGCTTGCCTATTTACTTCGTTAATATTGTCGCGTAGATTTATTAAATCTGATTCAATACCTATAAAGAGGGTGAGAAATTATGAAAGAGAAAATCATTTCATAGGTTTGAAAATATATTTATTGTCTCTCTTTTAAGAAAATTGAATTCTTTGGGGAGTTTCAATGCGACGCAAACTCAATTAAAGAACGTTTTAATCGCAAGAATAAAGAGAGTTATAGAAACTAAATTATTTCCATCGGTGTAAATCTTGAAACATAAGATATTGACGGTTTCTTTTGAAAAAAAAATAATGAAATGTATTCTTCTTTATCTTAAGTAATATTATGCTTTTAAACGAGAGATTGTTGCTTTGAATCTTAGAAACTGTCTTCAGTGTAGGTGTGAAATTTTCGTTATACAAACAAATTTCATCTTAAATACTTTATTTAAATAAACTGTGAAACTTATTTTAACTTGGATATTGTAGGTACCTTCACTTTGGAAACACTTATTTTTGTTTTAGGAAACACTTATTCTGTTTTGTTTATTTCTTTTCTTTTTCTTTTAGTTTTGTTTACTATGCTTACTTTTCAATTCAATAATAATGCATCTTTTATTTATTGATATTTAAAATGCATTTCCGAAAGCAGCTCATGCAACTTAATGTTATTTTTTTTCATTTAAGGAACAAATGTAGTACATTTCTATAACTTCTGTAGATGTGCTAACTTCCACAATACTTTATAGTCTTGAAAACATTAAAAAAAGTACTATATTTCGTAGTGAAACTTAACTTTAAAATTATTAAAGGTAATTCGAGTTTAAATCAGTTAAAATGTTATCATCCAACAAAATATACACTGAAACATATTCCACATTCCTTCTTTATCAAACTTCTTTTTTTTTCAAAAGAAAAAAAAAACTTGAAAAAAATAAAAGAAGACATATAGATGAATTCAAAAAATATAAGTTATAATTCAAAGCAAATACCATGATTAAAGAAAAATGGTGATCAGCAAACACAAAAATTTAAAATAATTTATAGTATAGTATGATTATAAGATAATTTATAGTAGTATAATACTCAAAATCCTGTTCTCAAATGATTTAGGTAATAGTAATGTCAGAATTCCATGCCAGTTAAACTTCTTTGGCGATTAATAAAATTAGCTATGGCAACAAATATTTTAACATGACGCCAGAGAATTATTTTACTTAAAGTTTATTCTGTGGATTACTATAGAAGAGCCATCTATTACTCATTAAATCCTTATATGTTTCTATAATTAAAAGAAAAAAATTATATTTTGTTGCATAACAAAGTATTTACACTTTATGATAAATATTCAGATGAAACAAGAAAAAAATTATATTTATAATTTTTTTTAATTATAATTATAATAATTATTTTTTAATTTCAATAAAAATTTTTAATTATAATTTATAATTATGCAAAAATTATATTATATTTAAAAATTATATTAAACTATATTAATAAATCTATATTTTTCCATGAATTTAAAAAATAAGGGTATATGTATTTTAAAGTATTATATCAATCATGGAAACGAGATAAATATAAAGAGAAATTGTACTGTAAATCAATACGTCGTTAACGTTAGAAGCTAGAAATGGTTATTTTGCTTCAATTCACATTTTTTAAGTACCAATATAAAATATTGAATTTTTAATATAATTTAAATCCAACAAATAACCAGCAAAAATTACAGAAACTAAACAATAACAAAAGATCAAGATTTTTATTATTACAAGATAAGAACAAAAACACAAGTAGTTTCCAGCCACTGGAAGCTTTATACGTGATATATTATAATTTTTGTCCATTCCTTGAAAAAAAAAATTTTTTTTTTCGATTTGCGTCACTTTTATTAATTTTTTTTTTCACTATCAATATGAAAATTTAGTTTTCACAAAATTAACTTCGTAATTTTTTTCCAGGTATACAGGGTTGACATGCAATATGATAATCGAAACGCAGTTACTCAGTCCAAAATCTTCATGAAGCACCTTGGTGTTTCGAAAGTACGAGTACAAAATTATTCGTATGATGAAGATGGGCAATTGGTCGAAATGGTGGGAAGAGATCACTGGAAATTCCACTACGACCAGAACGGCAACATGGTCACAATGCAATACATGGGCAACAAAATCGATATTCTTCATGACAATGGTGATCGAATTGTCAGTTTTGGTGAAACTCCATACGTTCTGGATGGACGTGGATTCGTCACCCAAAGAGGGGAGGAGAGATTCGTCTACAATACCAAAAGACAACTGACACGTGCCTTTAGAATAGGAAGATATGACATAGACTATTATTATGACGGGCGTGGGAGGTTGTCCGTAAGAAAAGACAATGTTGGAAATGTCACTCAATTTTTTTATGCCCATCCAGAAGATCCGTACGCAGTGACGCATATTTATAACAATGCTGATGGCAGGACAATAACTTTAATGTACGATGACCGAAAGTATCCTATGTTTATACTTTTGAACAAAGAGAGCTTTTATATTGCAACAGACCATACTGGTAGCCCTCTATTGGTCTATGATGTCTATGGAGATGTTGTAAAAGAAATCCACCGTGGGCCATACGGTCATGTGCTATTTGATTCGAATCCTAATTTCTACCTTCCCGTTGACTTCCAAGGGGGTCTGTTAGACCCTATGACTGGGCTTATTCATTTTGGAGATAGAGTCTATGACTCGTTAGTAGGTCAATGGATGACTCCCGGTTGGAACGAGATACTGAAGTCCTTGTCAAACCCTAAACGCCTGCATTTATACAGATTCAATGAGAATGATCCAGTAAATATAAATCATGGATTGCAAAATAAATTAGGTGAGTTAATTTAAAATTATCCCTAGCAAAACAATTATTTCTATTTTCATCGTATCGTTGCGAACATATCATTTAGAAAAATGGTAAAGCTTAAGACATTGTATGAATCTCTTACAGTAAGCTCAAGTTATGTTTAGTGATTCTTTTCATAATTTCAGCACTATTAAAATTTTAAAATATGAAAAACGATTTAAAATAAATAATTTTTTTTTTTAATATTTTATTACGGTTCAGAAAACAATTGAGAAATATTGAAGTTTCAATCTCGGATATTAGAGGATTTTTTTTTTATTTTAAATACAAATCGTAATTTATGCTTATAGTATATTCTGCAAAAGTACTCCTTCAGTGTTTAAATGAATATATATGTATTTAAAATATAGATATGCAGTTAGGCAACCCTAATCTGATTCTGACTAGAAAGAAAAAGAATTAGGTGTACAGTCAAGAATCAATATAATAAAATGTTCTTATTATAATTTTTTATTATTTTGGTATGATATGTGAAATTTTACATCCATCAATAATGGTGGAAAAAAAGTAAAATCGTGTCAATATTTTTGCTTAAAATAGAAAAGATATTATTTATTTCCACTTTCACTGCTGGAATATAACTAGATGAGCTTACAAAATACTTATCGCAATATTGTATTGCTTTCAATATCTAAAGTATTAAAGTATCAGGTTTATTGCCTCATTAAAATTTTAATCATCCTATTAACATCATTCCATATTCTAAGGAAGTTTTTGAACTAATATCTAATAAAATTATCTACTTAAGGGTCGTCGAGTTAGAAGTTTGAAATCTTTTAATGAGGTAATTTTGTAGACAATAAAACGTCAGATAAGGCAGAATCAAGCTTTATTAACAATTTATATTAAGCCTGACATCGTGTGATTATTATATTAAATAGGGAGAGCCTGAACAAGACTGATCCGTTACGACTTTTTAAAACCATGTTCATAATTATCTATATAAAAAAGAAATTATTTTTATCATACTTGCATCATCATATCAAAAATAATTTTAAGCTTAATAATGGGTGAATTAATCTTCTAGGTAACTTATTGATTACAGAAAGGTATTCAAATCGTGTGATTGAAATTATTTTAAATAGCTAAACTAATTATTTGAACTTTATAATATTTTATCATAATTAAAGGGTAATAAATGCTATTTGAATGCCAGATACCATATTATTATTAATTTTAACTACAATTGATTCGCCTTATTGTGAATAAGGTAGGATAGTGTTAAGTGAAATAATAATTGGAATTGTTATCCATTAAGCAAAGCTCGGTGGTTTATATTATATGCTTTGATTCTCATAATCTAAAAGCTCATACAGTTGTATTCAGTATAAATGAGAATGTAGAATACTGCCTTTAGCTATGATTATGCTATATGGAAATTCATCAATATCAAATTTCTTAAGCAAATTATTCTTGAAACTAATTAAACCAAAAATCAATACAAACTAATAAATTCTCTCAAGTAGTATTGTTTTATTTTTTACAATATTTCAACGATAGTATCCACAAATTTATCATAACTTATAACTTGAAATTAAATGTAGTTATCAATTTAAAAATATCAAAATGCAGAATGAAACGTATGACAAAAGTAAAGGAAATAATAAAATTTTTAATTTTTAAATCTAAAATATAACTAAATTTAATTTATATATTCATTAATTAATCATACAATCAAAAAGTATTCTATGAAGCGTTAAAGTAATCAATACATATTTTTCGAATTCTTTTGATGTTTCGAGCATTCGATGCACTCGAAACCTTTAAAAATTGCTTTTGATTTTCTGATTTTTCTTCGTCCTTGACCAACAATTTTTTTTGTTACTTTTGTGTGATTCAAGTTAAATTCATACAAGCAACAACAAAGCGAAAAAAAAACTTTTAATGTTAAAAACTTTACAGTTTCTGCCTGTCTTCAAAACACTTCTCACACTAAGACTAATATAATTTTAAAATTTAGTTTTTTCCTCTAACTTTACTTCCCAGTGAAATTTATAATAACTAGCTGTATCATTCATCGCATTCCAAATATGCAACAAAATTATCTATTTTTATTTAGAACATTTAAATCTTTTTATAAATATGATTTCAATAGTTTCCTTATAAACGCATTTAATCTGAGCGTCTTTAATTTTTCAAAATAATTTCAGAAATTATGAATTCTGATAGTTTCAAAACATTCTCAATATTCAGAAATAAAAAAGAAGGAATTGTTTTTAAAATCTGGTAGGAAAAATGCAATTAAAATATGTTTCAAAATCTTTCTGGCTACTCCATGACACAAACCATTGAAACGTGAATGACCAAAATAAAAAAAATTTAAAAAATGAAAGGAATGTTTAAAAACTTTCATTTAGAACTTACTTTAGCTTCCTGGGATCAATTTCTACTTTTCAATTTTGCAAGAACAAGAGGATTCTTCCTTACTCTGAATTAAATCCTCGGTAATTCCTTTCTTGGCACCCTTATTTGCTCCTCCAAATCACTATCAAAGACAAAGGATATCGGCAGGTCCACTTTAAGGAAGACACGGGAACTTTTATAATTAGTTGCTGTTAACACTTCGAGAGAACTTTTTGTTTGATGTATGCATAGTAGTTTGAATTCTTCAGTTACCGTTCTGGATCTTCAAGTCGAAATTAGAAGATTCGCTTGAAAGCCATGCTAATTTAATTCTTCAAATTAAGAAAGAAGTTTGCTCTTTCGGTAAAGGCTTCCCCCTCTTTGTCTAAGATTCTACGAATTGATTCAAGTTCTGATTATCTTAAAGTATTATCGTCAAACACGGAAGAATTCTTGATTGAACTTTTGAATTTCAGGTAGACTACTTTATCTGCTTCTGACAGCGATCCAATAAAATCTTATTCCAATTTTAAAATCCGATTAGAGTGAAAGTTACTGATTTACGATAGGTTATAAAACGAAGGAGTTAGTGCATCATTGCTATTCTATATTATAACTCAGCTCATAATTTCGAATAAAAATGAAGAAATAAATGCATTGAACAAAAGAATTCAGAAAAAAAGATTAATTAGAAAACATTTCTAAAAGTAATATAATACATTTTATCTGTCTCAAATTAGTCATTTGTCATTCTTGCTAATCTTTATGTCTGCTTAAAAGGTTAAGTATGCTGAAATATAGTGTAATATTTAATAAGTGCGTTACCATTTTAATTTAAACAATTTAAGTTTAATAAAAACTAAATTACAGTTGAAAAATAATACTTTTTTTACCCTTTGTTTAGTTTTAATTTTATTTAATAACCATCGTTAAACTACCGACCCAAGTTCAAGTTAACGACTTCTATTATGCAACAACCAACCCAATCCAAAAGACAAGGCAACTCCTGAATAAGGCATTCGGACAAATTAGTCTTCGTGGAGGACTTTTTTTTTTAACTAAACCCCATTTGCGTTACATGGAGGGGAAAATCACGGAAACCTCAACGGTTAGTCTAACGGCAAGAGGACTCTAATACACTTTCTTTATTGTTTATACTGAGGAAATCTGACTTGGATGGCACCATTTTTTTAAAAATTTAAATCACTCAAAAACAAAGATGTTTACCCTAAATCGAAATTCCAATGCATAATACTTAACTTCCTTGATTGTAGAATTAATGGTATAATTCCTTGATGGTATAATTTTGTCAAGAAAAGCAATAAAAACTCAAAGATAATGCTAGTTATTTACAGGTGATTTGCATTTCAAATGTTACAGAATAGAATAAATATCTAGAATAGAATAAATAATTTAAGAAGTTAATGTGTTAAATTAAATAAAAATCATTGAAATTTTTTTATGAGTTTTCCTCCTTCGTCTATTCTTCTTCAACGGTTGAGTTCGTCGGCATTTAAAAGGGTTCTTAAGTATAAACTCTCATAGTCTCAGAACTGATTACCACTTGAAATAAATACAAGAATAGTTTGCAATATTTCCATGATTGTAATTATACAGCTAAGCCTAATCTGCAGTATCATAAAGGTTACATAAAGAATTCAATGTGGTAATGATTTTTTTTTTGTTACATTTTTACAATTTTATTGGAAAAAGAACTGCAGGAAAAAGCTTTCTTTAGAATACAGTTTATTTACAATTCCCTCTTTCACTAATCTTGATTTGAACGAAAAGCGTGACGCTTTCCGATATCAAACCATCCTAACTACTCAATACGAAAACAAGGAAAGAAAATGAAACGATAAAAAAAAGGGAAAAGAAACGATTGGTGTTGAATTTTTTTCCCTTTATTCAAACAAAAACCATTGCATCCTTTCAACTACATCCCTTTAACATCATCAAATGGGAGAAGTTGGCTTATATTTTTATGCTTCAATCTCAGTATAGGTTTCCAATAATGTTCACAAACTCACAAAATCCTTGATGATATCTGTTATAACCTTCCCGCTTGCAATTGTAGCATGTGTTATCAAATATACTTTTAAAACAAAATAAAATGCGTTTGTCATTTTAACCGAACTTTTTACTTATTGATAGTTTTTATTTTAAAAGAAACATGAATCCTGAAAAAATAAAAAATAAAAATTTCTATACATATTTTTAAAAAGTTTTGTTTTCAAAAAGTACGAAAAATTTTATTATGAAAAAAACTAATCATTGAAAAAACAAAATTTTAAACCGTTTTGTGAAAAAGCAAGAAGACAATTTAAAAAGCTTGAACACGAACGAAAGTAGAGTATTTATTTTCAACCATTGCTTGAGTGTAATGTGTAAACAATTAAACGAACAAATAGAATTCGAGTTGAAGAAAAAAAGTTAAAATTTTGAATGACAACAACAATATAACTTGGGAAATTATAACTTTAAAAAAATCAGGAGTTTTCGAGTAAAGCATATCAGTATTTAAACAAACTGAAAATTGGTAAGATATGCATATAACAAACTATATTAGTCAGTAGAATGTCATGATTGCCAAGTTAAAATCAGGTGGCAATTAATTCCCTCACTAAATTCACTCAGTTGTCTAGACTTCTGCTACGAAATTCATTATGTAATAAGAAAAATGTAAATTGCATTCAAGTATCATTACCATTTTACCGTTGTTAATATATTTATTTTTTAATTTTACTGATACTATTCAAATAGTATTTTATTTTTACCATTTAAATGGCATTTTTAATGATTCAAATATAATTTTATTCCCCGTCTTTTTTCTAAGCAAAGCTTTCATCATATTCAGACACAATTATTTGCTAAAAGTTTCGTAATTTCTACTTTTTGTAAATTAACATGTAATTTATAAACTTTGCATTCGTATATTTCTAGCTGTGAAAATGTAGCTAAGTAATTTAAAAAAAAAAACTAATTCACTTCAACAATAGAATATAACTAAGTATCTTTATATTTTAGATCTGAAAGGATGGATTAGGTATCAAGGAATCAATTTGGATACTTTAGATTTAGCTGCAAATGAGATTTACAATCGATCTCCATATGATTTAAGTAGCATCGATTTTGAACCTTTACATTTGGATTTGCCAACAGTACCTCTGATATCTGGCCTGACATGTTCTGTTCAGCAGAAACTTCTGAAGTTTGCAAGACTGACTAGTGTCCAAAAATCGAAAGTAAAAACAGAACAACTTTTCGACCCATCACTTCCGAAAATCAGCACTCTGAATGTACCATTTGGAAAAGGTATTACAGTGTCTAACGTGAATGGCAGAGCTGTTGTGAGAGCTTCTGCAAGAGCTGAAATAATCCGGAAGGATGTATTTTCGGCTGTTTTTAACAATTGCCATATTTTAGATCTTCATTTATCGTTCCATGGTCAAGATGTGTTCTATTTAGTGAAAGACAACACTAGAAGGGTGGGGGATGACTTGAATCAATTGCAGAGGTTAGGTAACTCCGCTGTCAATACCACGGTGCATGAAAGTAAATTAGAAGAAGGGGAGGGCCATGCGGCTTCTAATCAGCAACACCAAGTAGATGTTCGAATACACTCCAATCACGCTATTCTTAATATTAGATATGGGACAACAGCGGAAAAAGAACGCCAAAGATTATTGAGGCATGCAAAGAGACAAGCTGTTTCACAAAGATGGTCGCAAGAAAGAGATATAATTTCCTCAAACCAAAGAGGTCCCTTAAAATGGACAGAACGAGAGAAAGAACAAATACTAAGTACTGGTTTTGCAAATGGTTATAGGGGCGAATACTACCACGATGTTAATTTGTATCCAGAATTAGCAGACGATCCATCAAATGTTGTTTTTCATAAAAATAATGAGAAGCACAGAAAGAGGTGATTGTCAGCAAATAATGTTTGATTTGTGAGATTAAATACAGAATCAATTCTGAATATTATTTCGTACCATTTGAGTACGACTGCCTGGAATTATCAGAACAGCGTTTTAAGTCTTTCATCCGCGTTGGAAAAAAAAGTTCTGAAGCAAAAAGATCAAGATATTATAGGTGCCAAGTTGTTGGAAGATTGAGTATTTTCTATGTAATCAACTCAGGATTGTATGGTATTACAGTGGAAATTTTAAATGATTTACAGTGTACGGTTTCTTTTTTCTTCCACATTTAATTTTCACTATTGATTTGTATGGATAGAAGATTGTAATGCAAATAATTTGTATCTCTATCCAACTTGTGATAGTATGATATAAACATGATGCGCATAGTGCTTTAAGAAAGAGTGAGCTCTCTGATTTGTATTACTGAGGCCTATTTAAAACAGTAAATAAATTGGTTGTATTATGTAATATTTAGGAAAAATGTGTACATATCCTACGAACTATGGAAAAAAAACATTTAAATTAACTTTTTAAACTAAATAATTTTTAATATTTTCGTTTCGTGTTTGCAGAAATAAAATTTAATAAATATATATATATTCATGGAACTTGCATCGTACGAGAAAATCAAATACTCGTATGCTTGTATCGTGAAAAAAAAAGTGAATTACAATTTTTTATAAAAGTTGTACAGATTAAGGTATTCTTTATATGTATGATGAAAAATTTGAATTATGTAAGTACTTATTGCTGAGCTTGTGTGTGTACGTGTCTTCATATCGAACTAATAACAACTATTCTTTCTTTCTTCTTTAATTATACTTAAAGTCTTTCTATGCTAAAAAAGTTTAATTGAAACTTCGCATGTTAATTTGATTACTGAATAACAACATTTTAGTTGTTACAACTCATATGAATCTTTTCTATGGTGTATTGAATCTTATGCAATTTCAAAAGTATTGATAATTCAATGTTTATTTAAGCAGCTTTTATTAATAAATGAGGAGGAAGCTGTATTTTGTAAATGCAGAATGGATTATTGCAAAAAATTGCAAAATTATAATCTCTTGGCATTTTTCATTTAACCTTTTTAATGTGCAGTACACAAAGCAAAAAACGGACCACTCTGAATAACTTTTGATCTTTCGATCAGATCTTCATGTTCTATGAATTAATTCAAAAGGTTCGATGAGGTGACCTCAAATATGCTAACTAATAAGTGCAAACTCAACAAGATACTTTATCTGAATAAATATACCTTTCCTAAGACCGGTTCGGTTTTTTGATTCCCAAAATATAGGGTGTAGGCGCAATCTGAAAAATAAGGTTCCAATAGTTTGGTCAGGGGAGAAGTTCAAAGTTTAGACCCCTTAAAGTTAATTTTACTAAATGCGTATTTTGCCATATCTCGAAAACTTTTTAAGCGAATTAAAAGATTCGCTCAAACTTTGTATTTTGTGAATGTAAAATTACATTTTTTGAAACGATTCAAAAAAAATTTTACCTTAAAATGTCATCTCTTTTCGACTATTATTTGTCTGATTTCGTAACTGACAACATCATCTGCACTAACTAATTAGCATATTTGAGATCATCCCTTAATTCTTTTAAGATTGAGTCCTAAACGTGAAGATCCAATCGTTAGACACTGTGGTCCGTTTTTTATTTAGCGCACTGTGCAGCGTAAAGTTGTTTATAGATCCTTTTTAAAAGATGATTGACTATAGAATCCATACAGAAATTTATCTTTTTAAATACAAAATATCTTTTTAATTACTGACACATATGTTGGTGTAAGATGTTTTTAAAGTATTAATTTACAAATAATATGTCATGAGAATTTTTAAAGTGCGTATTGCTTATAGTTGTGTACGTGATTCTGTGCAAGATATTTCATCCTGTCTGTATATTTATTACTTGGAGAATTTAAAAAAAATATTATTATTATTATTATATTATTGTTTCATATTTGACCGGCATAATATGCATTTTTTTATTTTACTTTTTGGAATAAGCAATAAACAAAATGTTTGCCTGAACGAAATAAATTTTTCATCTGAAATGTATGACATTAGTGATAAGATTGACACTTTGATAACGAAATTATCTGTGTTTCGAGAAAAACAAACACTATTTCAATTAATGAAAAATCTAAAATAAAATTAATCACTTGTGAATGATTCAACTGAATCAACACTTTTTGTTTTTTAATTTATTTGAAAATTCCTTAAACTTTTTGTTGAATTTGTGTCTTTAAGTTTGGAAATATTTATCGACGAATTTATGTAATAAAATATTTTTTATCACTATGAGTTTGTATTTTTTTAATTTAAATATTCTTTTAATTTAAATATTTCAGTTATACTATTCTAGTGTTCTAGTGATGTTTATTACGCTTATTATATAATTTCCTGACAGTTTCGTTCTTTAAAGTCTTTTTTTTCGAAGGTTCCGTCGCAACATGAAAAGATGCTTTTTTGCGCATAATGTGCTACGTTTATAAACTGCTGTTAGTTTGCAACAATTACTCATGACTGTTAGCCTATCTATGTCTGCACTTATTTTGAAAATGGCACAAAACGTCAATATGGAGAAAAGCCTCAGTTTTGTGAAAATGAAAAGCATTTGTGGTCCATTTTTTTTAGTATTTAAAAATTTACTCCTTTGCTGCATTACTTGGGCTCATAAAAATTTGCAAAAATGAGAATAAGGCACTGATTTTGATAAGGTCGCCAAATTGGCAATTTTTAAAAAAAATTAATAACTTTTAAAATAGTTAAAATATTTTTCTGTTCTAAAGCCCAGATAATTCTTTAGGGTAAGATTATATATATAGTTTAAAATCATCGCATTGCTTCGAGTGCAAGGCACTGAATCTANAATTAAACATATATATATATATATATATATAGCTTCAAAAAACAGCGTTAAATTAACTGACATAACTATACTAAGATTAGTAACAGTTATGTCCTACAATTACTTCTGTAGGACGTAACTCCACAATCTAGCATCTATACACGACATACTTCGTCTTGCGTCTCGTCAAGAAAATATTACTTTCACCCTATGTAGATGTGTGGGACAGCTGTTGAAAATCATTTAAATGTCAATGTAATTCACAAATATCAACTGAATTCATTTTAAATGTATGGAACGGAATTGCAACACATCGTTTCAAAATTCATTATTATGAAATCCATTTAACCAACGCAATAAGCTCCTCCATTAGCTGTTAGATGCAACAAGAAAGGACAATGGGCAATGCAGACTGATGAAAAAATTATAATGTAATGCACTAGAATGCACGAGAGTATGAATAAATGCATTCTGAACATGTCAAAAATGTAGATGCATTATACTACAATAAGTTGCTTCAATATCAAACATGATTAATAGCGACAATTTAGAAGTATTTTAATGCATACCTACAGAAATGTCATTCCATAAAGTAATAACTTTGTTTATGTAATTGTATTGCTAGAGCTTGGAAGATATTAACTAATTGTGTTCTATAATTTATAAAAACTAGCAATTAACAAAAATTTTTTTTAAGGAAGTTGAGTTAAAGGAGACACAGAAGAACACACACACAGAATATTAATCAATACTGTTTGCTCCAATTAAATTCTGGCAAATAGTGAAGCTAATGAAATTACTGAGTGCAAAATTGGTTAACAAATAAGTAAAGAAAAATAAATAAACTTTAATTGATTTGATAACAGTTTTAAGGAAATAAACGAAGATAAATCTACTGTATAAAAGCAGTTTTTTAAAATAACGTATTACTCATCTGCTTATTTGTTTGCGTCATCTAACAGTAATTAACGTTTTATTTTCTCCAATACCCACTCGATTGACCCTCGTCATTCACGAATAAGTAGGTCAGATTTTCTGGCCACTTTTTCAGGGGCACCTTATTAGGTGCACCAGCATTTTTTCCACAGTAAGAAAAGACAGTACAGAGAATGAAAGTACTTCCATGCCTTTTCCCGGATTCGAAACCAGGACCTTTCTGATTTGAGGTAAGCTCCCTGACCACAACACAGTCTGGTTGACTGATTTCTTAACTATTATTATGTTTTTTTGCATCATTAAAACAATTTATGATTATCATCAGTATTCTATTGTCCTAATTATTAAGAAGTAGTTCTTTCTCCCCTTCCCACTGATATTGACGAAAGTAATTAGCTGTTTTAATCTCAATTTTTTTCAGTGAATGCACCATTATGTTGAAAAATTTTAGACCTGACACCTTTTGAGGCTAAATATATTCTCGAACTCGAAGGTGATTCCAATTTTCTCTCGTCGCTCCCCGCGCTCTGGAAACCCTGATGTTTATCACTTTTCAATAATTTCAGCTTAAATTGGGAGGAAAGAAAAATTTTAATTTCAGTCAGTTATTTCTTCTGCAGTGACAAACATTTCTCTGAAAAAAATGGTTGAATATTCATTTATTTCATTGCTATTTTACCGTATTCAACCAAAATTTGCAAATGACCATACAGAAGTCATACTCAAATTGTTAACAGTGAGAAAAATCTTTATTGAATATTTTCAACTAATACCGTTCAGCAACCAGAATTTTATCCGCACGAGCAAAGCCCACAGGCAATGAAATCCAGCAATTGTTTTTGAACGCTGGCAGCTATGTCTTTTGAGATGAAGATTACGAATTTCTTGTCGGATGCATAACGCAACAACGGATGTATAACATTCCTATGGTTATAAGTTTGCAGTTGTAACTATAAGTAGTTTACCTTACAAGCTACTTAGTTTCCAAAAGCTGGGTACAAACTTCACTAATGGGCATATAAGCCTATCTCATGATCAACTGAGTGGGAGATTGAATTCCAGCATTAACACCATAATATTTACTAAATTGCTTCAACCTATTAGGGGTTCTCAGTGTTCTGCACTCATCAGTTGATAAACCTACACTATTCGAAAAGGAAACTCTTATTCACAGGTTACTGCAATGCCACAGAGATGCTTAAGACAGACAAAGCCTTATATTAGCCATTTCTCGGGATTGTTCCGTCACCATTTCTCATGTATTAGAATTTTCTTTACCTTTATAGCCCTTTAAAATTCAATGATTAAAATAAGAATTTCTCTAATTGGAAACATCACTAAGTTCTTAAAAGAAGATTTTGAAGATTTACTAGTCCTTCTGACCTTTTCTCCCTCACCGTTTTAAGTTGTATTTAAACATTTTAACTAATATATATATATANTATATAAAAGAAAAGAAAAGTATAAAAATTTTAAAAAATCACTACTGTAATGATATATTTTGCTTTGGCCATATTGATGTAATATTAGAAAGCACTCTTTTTTGCGGATATAATCGTGTGAGCTGATAAAACGATTATAAATTTTATTTTCCGGATTTTTTAAAATTTTTGTTCTTTTTTTTTATAAAAATATTTCTAAGTTTGAAATAAAATTTTTAAAAAATGAATTTTTTCAAATCAAATTGATGACCTTAAAATTATCGAAAAGTAAAACACCGGACGTTGCTAGAAAAACGGTATGGGTGGCGTAAAAAGGTGGCCATAATCGGATTTAAAAAGTAATTTTAAATAAGAATCAGTGGGAATAGTGAACGAACTATTTTTCAAGCAGTGTAGTGTAATTTATGAATGCTTTTATCTCGTTATTTTAGAGCTTTACATTAAAGATTACCCTAAAAACTGATGTGTACGTGAGGTAAAATGCGTTACGCTAAGTATGTATCGACTATAATTTCCCCTTTCCATTTGACTCTGAATAAATTTGTTAGCACTTACAGGACCTTAACGGTAAAATTAAAAGTAGTTCTTATGAAAATGAATTATTCGAGTTTTATTAAGTCATTTTTGCCCATTATCTTATCCTAGCCTATGATAACTCAATGAAATGTGGTAAAAAAGAATTAAAAAAATGTATAATAGGGATTAATAAAAATAAATGCGGCAACTTTAAGAGAATTTTTCGCAATGAGCAAATAAGAATCAACGTGTAATCAATTCGCAATGACCTAAAATTAAATTGTTTTGATGTTTCGTGTATATAAATTGTCTTAACAGTGTTTTACATACTGAAAATCTAAATTAGGGTATAAAACTAAAAGTTTTTATTTATAGTGCCATAGTACTGCAAAAATAAAAAAATACAATAAAGAAAATTAATGTAACTAACCCATTCGTTTTTTTTTCAAAATAAGAACTTCTTTGTTCTTTACTAAATGGTATTCATAAGTAAAGAAAAATATCAGTTTTTTTTATATCTCGCTTTGCTTTTAAAAATAAATATTCTAATTAAATATTCTAAGTTTTCTCTACTTAAGGATAATTAGTAGTTTGAAGCGAATCACATTTTTAGCAAGTAAGTATTTTCCTCTGGAAATGTGTTACAGTATTTT